TAATGGGAGCACCCCTGTATCTTTCGTTATTGTAGAGTTCGAATTTTTAAATTTGAAGAAGGAAGGAATACCGGGTGACACAGACTTATGGTATACCCCCCTTTTCTCCTTTGGTTTACTAGCAATATTCCTGAAATTTGAAACATCGAATATGCTCACTAGAGGGCACTTTCCTTATTTGAGGATTTTTTCATTTCATCTTCCGGATTTCCTGGAAATAACATCAACTTTCGATTTTCAAATGAAACACTATCTATTTTATTCCATATAATGGGTTAGGGATTATTATAACGAATTCAACAATACCGGGTTTGACTGGGTTATTTCAAATGATTACGAAGATATTCGCGTTCGAAGTTTCCATACGCTCAATGGGTTTGACGGCGCCATATCGAAACTTCTTTCTCTGTCACACTCAATGAGCTTATGGAAACTTCGAAGGCGAATATCTTCGAATCGTCTGAAATATCCCAATGAAACCCGGTATTGCTAACAACTCCCCCTCTTCTTCCGGAGGAAGTGAAGTTCCATGAACTTTACTGACGATAATTAAAATGAATTTAAGTAACCAAGAATGAACGTTGCTGATGAAGATACAATATTTAGGATGATATTAACCTAATCTGGAAAATTATTGTCGAGATATTCGACTGATCCAACTTGAGATCTTGAACATGCCAAATCCCCTTTTGGTTTCCTTGCTCATCCTCCAACTCATAAGTCCAAGCACCAATTTTCCTACGAATTTTAAAAGGTCCGACAAACTTTTAGGAGCGAGGTTAGGAGCAAGCTTCGCCGTGAAATAATTGTTAGCATCAGACTGAACTCTGTTTCTTCGCCAAACTTTATCACCCTGTGCAAAAGTAACCATACGTCTATGGGAATCAAAAACTTTCCTATTACTACGGTCTTGGGATTTCAGAAGACGAGAAGAAACATCATCATACATTTTACGGAAACCTTTTTGACGCTGTCAATATCATCAGTAGGATCCAAATCGTGTTCTGGTACCTGATCCAGATAATCTTGACCATGAAGTTTATATTTCCTACCAAAATTTATGAAATAGACTGTATCCTACGGTTTCATGACGAGCAGTGCGAATAGCACAACCAATAGCAGCAAGATTCACATCCCATGTTCGATGATTGCCCTGTAAATAAGATGAAATCATAGTCTTTACAACTCGGTTGACTCGTTCGGTCGGATCCGCACGAGGCAAATAAGAAGCAGTATATGAAATATAAGTTTTATACTTTCGACACAAGTTCTGAAATTTTTCACTTTTATGGCTACAGAATCTCAAGGATCCTCAAGGTCGACTTGCACGCTGGGTACTCCGTCTGCAACCGTATGATTTTGAATTAATCCATAGGAAAGGCAAGGATCATATTGTTCCTGATTTTCTGTCACGAGCAGTTCCTGTTGCTACCATTGAAGAAGTTACTGAAAGACCTTGCGTTGTTACTAGTGATACTTGGTACTTGGGAATGTGTTAGAAAGTTTTAGCTCATCCTGAGAAATTTGCTACTTGGCGGGTTGAAAATGATACCTTGTATAAGTACGTGAAATAGTCGTTGTTTCAATGGCGCAGTGCTCTTAGAGGAATAGACCCATGTATTTTTTCATAGATGTAAATTAAAAAGAATAATATATTGCGCAATCCGAAAAACATAATACTAATCCAAGTGTTTTTCAGGATATTCCAGCAGCAATATAAACTATGGCAGATTTCTCATCATTTGAGATCCTGTACTCACAAGAACTCTTTTTTCGTTCAGGACAGTTCACCTGAGAGCTCAACATCTGTCAGACAGATTATTGGAATATGGAGATTTCCAAGATAAGTTTTCCTATTTATCAAATTCGAATACAGATCGTATTTTATTCTTCTTCGAACATTTCTTCATAAAAAACGACTTTCATCGAACATTCAATCAAACAGTCGAAAAATTAGTCGACATTGTGAGTGTATGGAATCACGTCAGGTACCCTTACGAGGGGAGTGTATCAACTTTGGCGATCGTAATGCCTCTCTACAAAGGAGGAAGTCACCTTTAAGAGTTAGGTATAAACAGTGGTTTCACACCAGTTTTTTCCAAATTATTTGTGCACTTTAGGAAAGCACCAGTCGTTGTTTCAATGGAGCTGTGCTCTTAGAAGGATAGAACCATGTATTTTTTCATAAATTATGAATTATAAAGAATAATGTATTGCGCAATCAGAGAAACATAATACTAATCCAAGTTCTTTTCAGAATATTAAGAAGCAAAATAAGCTATGGCAGATATTCCCCATCTAGTGAGATCCTGTACTCACAAGTATCATATGATCGTTCAGGACAATTCACTTAGGAACTGTCAGACAGATCAATGGAATATGGAGATTTCCAAGATAAGTTCTCATGATTATTAAATTCAAATACAGATCGTCATTTCATTCTTCTCCGAACATTTCTTCATAAACAACGACTTTCATCGAACGTTCAATCAAAGAGTCGAAAATTCAATCGACATTGTGAGTGTATGGAATTACGTCAGGTACCCTTACGAGGGGAGTGTATCAACTTTGGCGATCGTAATGCCTCTCTACAAAGGAGGGTGTCGCCTTTAAGAGTTAGGTATAAACAGTGGTTTTATACCAGTTTTTTCCAAATTATTTGTGCACTTTAGGAAAGCACTAGTCGTTGTCTCAATGAAGCTGTGCTCTTTCAAGGATAGACCCATGTATTTTTTTATGGATGTGAATTATGAAGATACATAATACTAACCCAAGTTTTTTTCAGGATATTCCAGCAGCAATATAAACTATGGCAGATTTCTCATCATTTGAGATCCTGTAATCACAAGAACCCATGCTTTAATCGTTCAGGACAATTCACCTAAGAGCTCAACATCTATCAGACAGATTAATGGAATATGGAGATTTCCAAGATAAGTTTTCATGATTATCAAATTCGAATACAGATCGTATTTTATTCTTCTTCGAACATTTCTTCATAAAAAACGACTTTCATCGAACATTCAATCAAACAGTCGAAAAATTAGTCGACATTGTAAGTGTATGGAATCACGTCAGGTACCCTTACGAGGGGAGTGTATCAACTTTGGCGATCGTAATGCCTCTCTACAAAAGAGGAAGTCACCTTTAAGAGTTAGGTATAAACAGTGGTTTCACACCAGTTTTTTCCAAATTATTCGTGCACTTTAGGAAAGCACTAGTCGTTGTTTCAATGGCGCAGTGCTCTTAGAGGAATAGACCCATTCATTTTTTCATAGATGTAAATTAAAAAGAATAATATATTGCGCAATCAGAAAAACATAATACTAATCCAAGTGTTTTTCAGGAAATTCCAGAAGCAATATAAACTATGGCAGATATCCCATCATTTGGGATCCTGTACTCACAAGAATTCTATGATCGTTCAGGACAATTCACTTAGGAGCTCTACATCTGTCAGACATATTTACGGATTTACACATAGAAAATAACCAGTCGCTCCATCTGACGGCAACAACTTTAACACTTCTGAGCGGTTTGTTTTTATCAGTTTTCATGGAAATGTGAACCAATGAAAACAAAGTAAACATACCGCTTTGAAAGCTATCAAGAACTTCCATCGAGAATTGACAAGCCCCGGGGTTTATCGCGGGAGAGAGAAGGACATATAATGCCCTCTCACTCGCGAGAATGCATGCATGCAACGTTATAGTGGGCAGTACTTCATCATACTTCGTCTCGTAAGCAACTGGTTGGCTCAGTAGGCAGAGCATCGGCATGCCAAGCCGGCGGGCCGGGGTTCGAATCCGTGCGAGGCTCATCTTTTTTTTATTTTTTCCTTGTTCTCAAGTGATTTCTAAAAAATATTCTCTATGGGAAATAGGTTCATTTAGGGGTTTTCTATGTTTGTGGTTTAGGCCAGAGGTGAGGTTCGGTTAGGTTAGGTTAGGTTAGAATAGAATAGAATATTTTATTTGGTGTTAATAAACATTAAGTTTTACACAGGTCAACGAAACAAGTACAGATATACTCATAATATAGATAGGTTAGGTTTTCTCATTTTTTATGCAGAAACAATATTTTCCTTCCTCAAGAAAAATTCTCCTTCTTCAAGAAAAAAGGTTCATCTGAGCGAGAGCGAGTTATACGTCCTTCTCTTTCCCGCGATGAACCCCGGGGCTGGTCAATTCTCGCGAACTTCCATAGGTATAGGTGTCGTACGCTTATTTCTTCCTTCTTCTTCCTTCTTTACTGGCCTTCGTCTCTCCACACAACACACAACCATCATCTATTTTTTTGTTGGTTCCATTTCCCTCAGGGAGAGCTTGCCTTGTGGCATGTCTGGCTTTTCACCATACTCTTCCTGTTTTTTTTTTTTCTCTTGTGAACCTATTCACTTTTTGGGTAGTTTGCACTTATCTATCAATTATTTATATTTTAATATTACTTTTTTCCAAAAATTTGGACAGGACACTAGTAGCACATGTAGATTGTTCCTATTTCTTCACACTTACATCTGGGCGTTGATTGAGGCAGAGATAAGTTACCCACAGAACGTGGGTAACTTATCTCTGATTGAGGTATTTGTTATACCTCAATCAACGATCTGGGGCTTCCGCCTCTTTGCTTCCGCTGACTCCCTCGCGAGTAGTGGTAACACTGTAGAGATCACATCACATTCTGAGATAATCTCTGTTCTGAGTATGACATGCTGAGACGTTGACCGTTGTCATAATGACATGAATGACAGGACAGTGACCAGTGACAATGCAGTGACAGGATAATGGTTGACATACAATGAACTCAATGAAATATGAAATGTTTTCTTTTTTTTGGTCCTCTCTAAATGAAAAATATTCAACAAAAATAGTGGAATATGTAGCACGATTCCCCACAGTTTCTAGCCTTCTCATAAATCATTTGAAATCGAAATGACTTCGAATTAAAAGTGAGGTTATCTCTTTCCAAAGAGATCCTGGCTGGACCCCGACTTCTCAAAAATGAATCAAGAAACCAGCAGAGACTACTGTAGCTGGTTGATCCATGTGAAATTATCTCGAATAGTTGCCATGGTACTCGCTATACTCATATTCACACCTCTAATTACACATTTTTACCTTTCCAAAGTAGAAAGAAGTTCATATCTCATAGAACATGGTGCACATTCACACCAAGACCTCAACGAAGACTTCTATATGTTCAAAGAGTCTGATTTAAAAGTAGGAGTAGAAGAATTACTTAGGATTAGGGGCTCTGTACTGAGTGAATTGCGTGATATCGAGAAAAAACGGCAGCAGTACAAACAAGAAATACAAAGTTATGCTAAGAACATTGAAGAATTGAAATTAGAATTATCCCACCAGCAAACTAGCTTAAACAGACTGAAGATATCTGTAGAACAAGCACAAGTGGCCCAACATGAGGCCCTTCAACAAAATACTCCAGATTTAGCTTTACCCAAGAAACTAACAGTTGATACATTGCCTTCAATATTACCACCAATACCCAGAAATGCATCCATACATTGTAGAATGTACAACTGCTTCGATCACTCAAGGTGTTCCCTAACTTCTGGATTCCCTGTATATTTGTATGACCCTGATCAGTTCCCTGTCATGAATGATGGCTGGGATGTGGATGGGTTCCTGAAAACAACCCTCAAACAGACTTTGGGTTACAACCCTCATCTCACCAACAACCCAAAAGAAGCTTGTATATATCTAGTTCTAGTTGGTGAGGCATTGAAAGATACAGATGATGTTAGTGAGAATGTTGGCAATCATTTGAATTTGCCACCACTTGATTCTGAGGCCTTGAAGAGGTTGCCTTTCTGGGGTGGTGATGGAAGGAACCATATTCTACTGAACTTAGCTAGAAGAGATCTCACTACTACCTCAGGAGACATTTTCTCCAAAACTGACACTGGTAAGTCCATTTATTTTCATTAATCTAGAGTCACTGGATGGTCAGTAATCCCCTCATTTTTATTTCAAGGAACATTTTTTTTTTTTTCAGGTCGTGCCATACTAGTTCAATCAACTTTCAGGAGTGATTTCTTCAGGCCAGGGTTTGATCTGATAATTTCACCTGTTCTTGGGCCCCCTGGTGGAGATGTTTGGCAAGAATGTGCCCCCATGGTACCTGTACGCAGGAAATATCTACTCACTTTCCAAGGTGAGATGAAAATGCTCAAGTCAGAAAGAAATGCTTCCTCCAGGACAGATCATTTTGATGATATTGAGGACAGTGATGCAGATGTAGACAAGTAAGTGTAAATTATATTGATAGAAAACCTTGAATATATTGTATCTTGGAAAAATGCCATAACTGAAAGTTGAATCTTATTAATTTTCCACTAATAAAACAGTTTGAAATAGATTAATCTATTAAAGATACACAGGCTGTTCATGAATTTTAGTGACACAAGCCTAAGGAAGATATTTTTCCATAAAATGAGACTAAAAGTTTCCATTTACATAATAATATTCCAGAAAATTGCTCAGGAAATGGTTTGTTTTCAAGGAACAAGGTTTTGAAGTTTTGTAAACAAATAACACCCAGTATATTCCTTCCAATGTTTTGCTGTCTCTTTAGACAATCAATAATAAACATATTTTTTCGTATTTTTTTGATTTTCAAAATCAATAAACTGAGAAGTTATGTGTTCAATTTTTGATCAAAAAACACAATAAAGTTGAAAATATACTGGGTGCTATTTTAAATTGAATTTGGTCACTGGAAGATGTCAAAGGTGTACTAAGAAAAAGTTTGGGGGGGATAAAGAAACCTCTACCCCCAAAAATCTATCACCCTGTAGATTTTTAAAATATTCAAAATGCTTCAAATGATGATCTTCTGGAAGGTATTTACACACCCAATTTCAAATTGATATCCCTAGAAGTGAGTGAGATATTTCAATTGATAAATAAAAAAAATAATTAAATTGGTAAAACTGCATTTATCATGCTATGGGTTTTTTTCGAAAAATTTTTGTGAACAAACAACTATTTATCAAGATATTTCAAGATGTTAAGTGCATTTACAGCTAGGTACTTGCTCTTCTTATTTTGTTATTGGACACTATATACTCATTATGTACTTCAAAGACACATTTTTGTATAGAAAATTCAAGAGAAAATATGATTTTTATGGTGAGTTTTTCATATTTAGTGAAGAAGCATACCAGATGACGGCCATTTAATCTAGTCAATCCAAATGTGATCCAAATACTATATGTCAAATATCAACAGATTGCTTTTGAATGACATTGCACCCGCCATTATTTTAAATAATATTCTTCCTTCTTTTCACTAAATATGGATAAATTACAAGAAAATCATAGTTCTAGTACTCATATAATAGAAAAAAATGTGTCATACATTGTGATATATATAAATAGAAGGGCAACTTGTTCTAAATGCAATCCAGAAGAGACAGGCAGAAAAGAAGGTGAAATTTGTAACTTCACAGTGAAATATCTTCGTGAATAATGGTTTGCTCACATTTTCATTATCAAATTCGTGTTTTTCAGACAAAAATACACATAAGTTCCGAAAAAATTTTTGAAGAAAAACCATGGCATGATAAATGCAGTTTTATACCATTAAATTTCTACCCCTCGCTAGCTCCGCTACTGATCGAGATAGGACTCATGTAGAAGGCATTGAGAAAGGCTTATAGGCATCTTCGAGGGCATCTTAGACATATATGTTTATATAAACGTTTTTGATTAAAATCATGAGATCTATCACCCATTTCAGTTTGTACCTTAAAATCTGAATCACCCTGTATAATATGAAATGAATAGAATTCATATTTTTTTATCATAATCAAGATGGAACCATGAAAGTGAGTTGTAATCATGCACAACCCCTGGTAACATAAAAAACATAGGTACTTTTTTACCTTGAATAATTCAGCAGGATCAGCATTCTCAATTCATGACCCAAATAAAGCAGGTAGTTATACCATTGTTTTTCACAACAAACAACACTTTTCACGGATTAATTTTCAAACAAAATAATATCTGGAAGGAATTCAAACTCGGGAATATAATGAATTCCACCATGCTGACGCCCAAATCGGGAAAATGCAAATGGTTCCTTAAAAAAGTTGAATAACGAATCGGTGCTCACTTTTTCTTGTGCTAGTCAAAGGACTGTCAGAATTCATAGATTATTTTTTAAACATTTTGGATGCAGTTTATCAATTAGTGATGGTGCAGGGATCCCTGTTTTTGTTCATTTTTTTTATTTTCAACCATATTGTCCTTGTCTTGACCCAGCATACCTATCTTTTCCGAAAACGGTTCCTGGAAAAAATTGTTTGGTTTCCCACTACCGGCACTACCACTACTGTACCTATTTATTAGACTACTGGATTCAAGATGAAAAACATTTGGTAAAGAGGTAAAAGTACAGAAGTTCCGGATCAAACAGATGACATTTTTATATGATTTTTGATAGATGCAGAGTTCAAAAATGTTTGTAGGCATAGCAGAAATTAGGTATAGGTAGTTAATTTGATTGTTTATCTGTTTTGATAGTTGTTGTTTGAAGGAGTCGTTGAAGAGTTCTTCATAATATTTATAATCCTGAAACTATCTACCTACAATGGTTACAGTTTTATTATAATATTCTACCTACCTCTCATATTTTAATTGTATATACAGAGCGACCCATATGAAAGCGGGCCACCATCATATTTTTTTTATTTGTGGAGCGATATTCACGATTTTTCTCATGAAATGTAGAGGGAGGAAAGCTGTTTTCCGAGGATTCTGAAGAGATAGGTACTATCATCTATTTTTATGAAGTTTTTACCTACTATGGATTTAAATTATGTAATGGCTGGGTCATTTGAATTCAAATATAGGTATTTATAAAACAACAAAAGTGTCTAGTGGAAACAGGACGCAACAAATAAAGCCGCCAATTAAGGCTAGAGTAAATTCATAAAACTTGAAGCACAAGGCGAAGCAAGTATAAGTGTAGGTAACAGAGGTATAAATAGGTGCATTTTAGAAATGATTATAGATAACTCACTCAATGGTATACAGGGTGTTCCTTAAAGACATGCAAATATTCAAGGGGGTGATTCTTCAACTCATTTCAAGAAAAAAACTTCTCACTAACGTATGTCCTAAATGTCTTGACTTTTGAGATACAGGGTGATGAAGTTTAAAAAAAACAGTTTTTTAATAATAACTGGGATAGTATTGCAGACATCTTTAGGAAATTTGGTACATATATCTTCTATTCTTCAAGGTACATTTTTTGATGTACACAAATTTCCCTTTTCCTTACCAGTGGCGCCGTTAGGGGGATATGATTGATTATATTTTACTTGAAAGTGAGCAACGAAGGAATATTTGCAGAGAAAAATCGGAAAAACGAGAACAAACTTCAAATTTTGATGTAAATAAGCTAAGCTTGAGTACTCCATTCAGGACATCCATTATACTGGATAACCACAGTATATAACATTTTGATATTTTTACACCGTTTCAGTCACATAGCAGAATACATTTTGTCATCAGGAAAAGCTATACAGGGTGGACAAAAAAAGAATCTATGTATATGTTCAACTTTGATACCCTGTACCTATCTCAAAAGTTTAGAATTTTACGACACACGTTCATATGAAGTTGTATTCTTGAAATGGGTCCAAGAATCACCCTCTTGAATATTAGTATGTCATTAAGGAACACCCTATATAATCGTCAATTGAAATCATACATAAACCCTGGTCACATGAAAAACGATCTTGTTCATCTTCCATTCGAAATTTGCTCAGGATAGTGATTGGCACAGGTGCAGTTCGATAAACTATATTGTTTTTACATTTCTTTTGGACATAATTATATAATTTCGTTATCAGATGACAGTCGACAGTTGAATAATGAATCGTTGCTGGTCAAAAGACTTTGAACCCAAAAAATTGTAATTTAAATATTTCGAATGCAGTTCATCATTTTTTTTGCACTCATTTACCATTTACAATTATTATTTGTATTGATGCAGGTCTCCTTGTGTGTTTTTTTTTTCATTTCATACTCAAATCGTTTCCATAAAAGACTAGGTACACTGAAAAAAATGTTGTTTATAATCATTCAGGTTTGTAATTGAACATTTATTGGGCGGTCTGTCGAAATCAGAAACTTCGAACAAATTCAAATCTTGGAAGTTAAATGTGACTCACTTCTTATCGTCCAATTGATTTGAAAGGCACCTACATAATTCTGGTGACAAGGCATCCTGAATTTTTTTTAGAAATACTAACAAAATAGCGGATGACTTTTGTAATCAAGATCCGATTCTATTCAAAATTGGTACCTGAAGTTTTTTGAGGTCGGCAATTATGATTCTTCTGTCAAAATTGGAAAATTCGAGATGGTGGATCAAATATGGCGAACGAGTTTTGTAATTATGATCCAATTCTATTCAAAATTGGTATCTGGGGGGTTTTCTCTAGGTCGGAAATTATGGGTCTTCCATCAAAATTAAGAAATTCAAGATGGCGGCTTTAAAATGAACGGATGAGTTTTGTGATTATGGTCCGATTATATTCGAAATTTATATGTGTGGGCATTTGTTGTCGCAATTATGAGCTTTTAATCGGTTCCACCTGTACCGGTGTCTGTCTGTGAGGGTGTGTCTGTGTGTGTGTGGTGCATTTTTATGAAAGCTTGTCTTTAAACATGTCTTCTATAAAAGCTTTCCTTTAAAAACGTCTTCTATAAAATCTTGTTTGATTTATACTCATATCGTTTTAATAAAAAACTCCACTGAAAAAAGAATCTTGTTTAATATTCAGGTTTGTCATTGATCATTTGGGCAGTCTGTCAGAATCCGAAACATCTGACAAATTCATCTTCGAGTTCGTCTGCAACCCTGCCAGTGACAACAACATCAACAGTGGCTCCCAAGATTGGGCCCTCTGTGGCACAGATACTAGCCGAAGAAGTGTCTTGAAGATGTCTACGTTCGTTTTGATTTTTGCCCCGCGTCACGTTGAATTAGTGTCTACCACTTTGTTGCAGGCCCGGGTGTACGAAGCTCTGAGATCGGGTAACTATTGGATATTTAATTTTTTTTGTTTACTAACTTGATGTTTTTTGTATCAAAAACAACAGTAGAGCTGAGAAATTCGTTAGACTCCAGAAATTTTTTCAGAATTCGCATGTTTCAGTGAAAAATTATGACTTATGTATTGTGTGTATCTCAGTACACCCTAATGGTGGAAGTGAATTCTTGCAATATGGTTATGCTCTCATTGGTTGTTTGAGAAATATGTTACTATTGGTGCTTCTTGGCGTATCACAACGTCATCAAGATCCGATTTTTTATCATTGAAAAATTGAAAATAGTGTATGTGATTATTTTAGATAACAAATGACTGTATCAAATACATTTTATATATGGAGAGAACAATATAATCCAGGTATGTTGCATAATGTGACATTGCTAAGAATTTTAGTAAAAATTATTGTGATTACAATGTCATCTTTGAATTTCAGGGTTGTATTTTGAGAAGGGGAACACAGTGACAGTACTGCAATTTCTTTGCCATCTTTTTTCATGACTGTTTTGACAATAAAAAATAACATCTTTCTGAAGTTAATTTTTTTGTTCACTAAAAGTCAGTGAGCTTTTAAATAAACAGAAATACACATGGGTATATTTCTCAATATATTTTTGCCATTGGCAAAGTATTTTTGGTAAAGCTATTTTATTTATATACAGGAGATTCCCCTCAAAAAAATATCGAAAACATACCACATGAACATGGGTCCAAAAATGATTCGTTTCCGAGATACAGGGTGTCCAAAATTTGAAAAAAAGTACACCCATTGGGATTACTCAATGACCTCAATGAGTATTATTCTGAGATTTTGAGCGTTTGTCAGTCACCAACCAGACTAAATTTTGCCTTCATGAAAGCTTATACAACAATCAGTACTTCCAACTTCAACACCCTGTATCTTGGAAAGGAATCTTCTCAGGACCTATGTTTATATGAACTTTTCGTCTTAGGATCACCCAAATGATCGCCCATTGAAGTTTGGCCACATACTTGAATAACACCCTGTATTGTCATATACCCTACCTAGAGTGATTTTGTAAATAAAGTGACGACAATAGTGGTATACTTTTTGATTGGTCAGACCTCTAATATGGAGGTGCATCCACCTGTCTTGTTTTCTACATTCAGTTCTACGCATTCTATTTCACTCTGTCAATACTTTGTCTCTGTTTCTTGCTCTTTGGATATTGAACATCCAACAATCATACAACATTTTGGGACTCGTAAGTCTCAGATTATTTAGATGATGAAATATCAAATAAATAAACCTAACATCAGGTGGGCACTTCAAAGGAACAAATTCATTACTTCATGGGAGATATCCTTCAGATTGTTAGCTATTCAGTGACTTGACCACGAACGACATTCCGGAAACGGCAGCCATTTGGTGGTCTATTCAATCTACTCCACTCTAACCCTACCTATTGCCCAAAAGTCCTCAAGATCGTTTTCCCAGGAGCCATCCCAGTCATCTTGGGCGGCGACCAGACCCGCCTGGCCTACGACGAGGTCATCCAGTGGCGTAGGGCGGCAATCTTCGTGCCGCGCGCCCGCATCACCGAACTCCATTTCCTGCTGAGGGCCCTGCCCGACGAAGACGTGTTGCTGATGAGGCGGCAGGGCAGACTGGTGTGGGAGAGGTAAATCACGATTGTTTACATAACATAACCTCACCTCAACACAAAGCAGCAATGCCAAAAGTTGAAATATTTCAACTTCATCGCGTCAAATGTTTTTGAGATTCAGTATCACCAATCAGGTTGCAAGACGTGCGACGTGTAAAGCAAAAACGCTGCATTGGGAACTCACCTTATCGCGTTACGTTACGAAGCGGTTTACCTAAGATGGCTACATCAAGGAGCTAAATTTTAACAAGTTATTTGACGACGTTAGGTATGAGATTTACTGAATTGGCAAGGTGACGATTCCGATACGACAACTGGTGGGCATATTTGAACCAGTTTGAGACGAAATTCAAGGTGATTTTTGTTATTATTTTCATAATATTCAAAATATTCATATTTTATGTACATCCATTCTACAAATTATGTTAATTTTCTCTTCTTGCCTCTCTTGATTACAGGACATGAACTTTATGTTTTAATTACCGACTAAATTATATATTATTTTATAAATTATAAATCAAAAAACCTCTCCAAAAACTGCGAAATCATCTGTTTTCTAGATGGTTGCATGGTCCCAAAATAAATATGTACCTTGGACCTAAGATGGCCCCCAACGGTCGATCACCTTGCCAATTGAGTTCAATGAAATGATCTTTGTTTCAATGTGAAATGACGAATCAATAAAATATGATATACGTGTGAAAAGATTATATGAGTTGCCGTTAGAGCTCGTTTTTCGCCAAAAGTAGATTTTCGTAGAAAAAACTAGAGACGGTTGATTCGATATGGTGCGCTAAACCATCCTTCATGCATAGATCAGTGGAAGCAATGATGACAGATGGCCTGAGTCAGAATTCTTCCTAGTTTCAAGTCAAATTCTGATTTCAACAAACCAAGACTATAAATGTCTAAACTAGTTCTTGCAGTAAATCTAGTTCAGACTGAAATCAGGTTTGCGCGGTAACATATACATACAAATCACAACACGCCAATAATTCCACAGGCATAAAAAGACAGTTTCAAATTGTTACCGATGACATGTTTTGTATATTGCAAAGTACTATAAAATTCTTACTACATCGGATTTTTTTCTCGTACCGGCAACTGTGTAATTTGCATTCAAATCATCATCGATAGTGGCGCTCCCGCCGCCCCGTGACAGTTTTGGAAAGCATTCTTATTCAATTGTAATTTCGTGATATCAAGTTGGCTGGTTGCCGATTTGTTCGTCATGTTGTGGGCACGCTCTAGGATAGGGACTTGACGCACCAGTCCCTTGTAGCCATCTTAGGTTTACCCTTCCATAAGAAGTTATCACTTCAAAAACTTGAATAATATTTTTGGGTTTATCCAGATATTTGGCTTCGGTGCAGAGCACTTTGGACACGATCGTCGCTGTACTTCGAGATAGATTGAATATTCCTGCCCTTCCTGCTGACAATTTCAAAGCGATGAGCGTCTTCAACGAAACATTTCAACCTATTCAAGTGCCTGTAAGTTATTTGTTTTCTTCAATTAATCTTCTGCTTTTTTTTTATTGACTCGGCCGTTATTGATGGAAATCCATGGCAAATGTAAAAACTTCACAAACGATAAGATTTCCACAAAATTCTCAAACACACGACATGTTTCGCTAACACAGTAGCTTCGTCAGGTGATATACTATTAACTTGACGGTTAGTATTTTTCACGGTTGGGTGAACATATACCTAGTATATAAGCAGCACACTAGAATAGGATATTTAGTTTTAATCTTCTCCTGAAGATACTAACATAGTTAGCGAAACACGTGTCGAGGCGTTTAAAAAATCGGTTTGGTTAGTGGTAAAACAGTGTAGTGTATTATCGTGCCAAAGGTTCCAGTCTTCGATATAATTTCATTAATGCTTTCAAATGCAACAGGTGGCCAGTGACGCCGAGCAAGAGGAGAGCCTCGGGCCGCTGGAGCCGCCCTTCGATAGCCCCGCCTACCGGCGCAACTACAGCCTCTCATTGGTGCACGGCCACGCGGTGTGGAACGAGTGGGGCGACCCGTTCCGCCTCTACCCGCATCTGCCCTTCGATGCCGCCCTCTCGGCGGACGCGAAGTTTTTGGGCTCGGGCAGGGGCTTCCGGCCCATCGGGCAGGGCCAGGGGGGCGCCGGGAAGGAGTTCTCGGAGGCCTTGGGGGGGAACTATGCGAGGGAGCAGTTCACGGTGCTGGTGCTTACGTACGAGAGGGAGCAGGTGAGTACCTTCTTTTCTGTTTTTTGATTTCGGGTGTTTGTCCGGTGATTTTTCCTTGATTCCTAGGGGACTGTTCTATGATTCCCCCTGTGTTACAACGATTTAACCTTGAATTCTTAATTCCTGACAATGTTTTTTCCTGTGTTAACTCCAAAAAACTGACTTCTCTGATTTCTGATGAAACCAGAGTTGCGAAAAATCAGGAAACGATAATAATAAAAGTGCTTTATTGGTTACTCAATACACCAACGACCGGAGTCCTTCAGTCTATTATACAGTGACATCCTTTGTCTTATTCGTTTTGTTGTATATTATACAAATATAATGATACTTATCTGAATCATTGTTTAATGCAGGTAAAAGAAAATAAGAAAATGTGTTGGAGATTGATCAATTTCCTGGCATTTCAGCTAGTTTTGTGATGCATTCTAGCAACATATTTACTGGAAACTTGTTACTTGAGGTCACTGGTCACGATTTTTTTGAAAACAATAAAATATCTTGTTTTTTATTGAATCGTGATTGTTTTTATTTAAACAATTTTTTTTCAATCGTGAATGATTAGTAGATGTGGAATTGGGAGTACTGGGCAGATATTTCATGAGTGGCTATTCAAACGTGAAATATTTGTACTTCCCCAAATAGATATTAGATATTGTCAATTTGAATAATTGAGACAGAAGTAAATACTCTTCAGGTTCTAACAGGAATGAAATTTCGAATTTCATTTAGAATACCTGCAATAGGATTAAGTTTTTTTCCTCAAATGATCCATATGTGAACACTATTCCTTTTTTGAATTTCCTGATGAGTTATCTGCTTCCACAACTTGTGTCTCCCAATTCTTTTCCGTGCCTCCCAATAATTTTCCGTGCCGCCCAATGCCTTTCCGTGCCTCCCAATTCTTTTCCGTGTCTCCCAATTCTCTACCGTGCCTCCCAATTCTTTTCCGTGCCTCCCAATAATTTTCCGTGCTACCCAACGCCTTTACGGGCCGCCAAGTTCTTTTCATGCCGCCCAATGCCTTTACGGGCCGCCCAATGATAGCTAAACCGCCCCGCAGGTGCTGCTCGACTCGATAGCGCGCCTGCGCGGCCTGCCCTACCTCAACTCCGTCGTGGTGGTGTGGAACAGCCCGCGGCCGCCCAGTCCCGAGCTGCGCTGGCCCGACATTGGGGCGCCTGTGCGGGTCGTCAAGGCGGCCAGGAACTCGCTCAACAACAGGTTAGAGACACTAGTAGCGTTTCATTTATCTGATTCCGCCACCGGAATCACTTTGCTGTGTCGTTTTATTTGCAACTTTTTAGATTCCGGTTGCTACTCTTCATTCCGTCTCACTACAAGTTATGACGTGGAATGACTGTTGACAGTTGTCAAAAAATGAAATTAGATTGACGAAAAACGAAACTTTTCGAGAGTAGAAGACATTTAGAAGACATTTTTATCGTGAGGTTCACGAGTTTATGATTCTTTCAAGTAAGACAGGTTTCATATGTTCATTCCCAGATAAAATTAATTCTCTCGGTCTCAGAGAAGTTTCTTGAATCACTGCTCAAAATAGGCGTTGATTCATTTTATTCATTTTCAATTCTAGTTTTATGGTACTGAAATTATTCGGAGCACAAATATATGAGTATAATCCCTATGATTTATATTATGTCAATTCTCTCAGGCTAGGTCACGAAGCTTCTCGTTTTAGTCGTTTTATTTGAAAACGTCGTTTTGTTCCCACCACCGTTACCAGAATGGAACAAATAAAACGCAACTACTGACACAACCTTTTTTAGACCAATACAGGGTGTGATTTAATTGATGGCTGAACATATTGGATATGGTTCTGTACTCTCTATATCTGCTCCGTTCATCTTTCTTCAAGTTGCTGAACGCTGGGCTATGAACTATCAACTATGACAGTCAATCTACTATATTTCCTACCTACTAGAACACAGAACTATAATCTGGCCCTGATGCAACATTCCGTCTTTCATAAAAACATTTGAAAATGAACTTCATTACCGATCTCTAGCCTCCGCTACTCAACAAACAGAAGTTCGCCTTGTCCCTCATAGATACCGCCACCTACTGAATAGAATTTCTGTTTTCATATTACTCTCATAAGGATGGTTCATCTTGTTAATGTTAATAATCAAGGATAATAGTTTATGTTAGTACTTTAGTATCGATACTTTCTGACTTCTGGAACAGGTTTCTGCCGCTCGATTGCTTGAGAACGGAGGCCATTTTGTCGGTAGACGACGATGCGCATTTGAGGCATGACGAGATCTTGTTCGGATTCAGGGTGTGGAGGGAGCATCGGGATAAGATAGTCGGATTCCCAGGAAGGTAAATATTATATGTTGTGAATGAAGTCCATCTTGTTTAATATAATGACTATCTAAATAATTTTATGGTACTTGATACTAACGAATTCGACTGTGTTTTGCTGAAATCTCGTCAAAAGAACAATGGGCAGTCGCTATTTCCTTAGATTAAAAAATTCCAGCTCAAATTTCAAATTTTTTCTAGAAAAATAGTGTTTTCTCCGTTAAAACTTTCCAGTTTTCTTCAGTTTCTTAAAATTTGTTCTTTCCAGAGAATAAACAGTCGTGATTTTTCTTCAAGTTCGTTAAGATAATCTGGTTATCACTCTTATTGTAGAAGTGACTATAAGTGCTGACTGTACAGTATGTCCTGTTTTCAATGCTTTTGCGCGATTTCTCAGTTATCGTTGCAGTGTTGCGGTTTCACGATCCTGCACTACTTTTTTGTGAAACGAATAACATAATTTTCAGTCCTTCATGTTTTTGACATATAGGGCAAAATTGCAACCCTGCCGATAAGTTGAAAAGTAACCAAGATCAGGAGCTGCTCAATTTTCAACTTCGCCCTGTATCTCAAAAACATGAAGGACTGTGAAAATTCTGTTTGCGGCATTATATTCGTTTCACACACACTGTACATCCCTAAACTCATGATTTTTCTCGAGTTGAGTTTTTGTCGACCTGAATCGAACAAAACTCCTCCATAAGTTCAATATTTATTTTCCCGTTGGGCGATAAAGTAATCAGCGGGCGCTAAAGTGCCACTTTACACCTGTAAACCCGATCTTGCATAAAGTACCTCATGTTATATTTATATGCTGGCTGTTATTCAGTGTTATCCAATTCCTTAAACATGGATTTTATTAGGTATCATGCATGGGATCTCAACACCAAAAACAGTTGGCTCTACAATTCCAACTACAGTTGTGAGTTGAGTATGGTTCTGACTGGTGCTGCATTTGTTCACCGCCATTATCTCCATCTTTATTGGAAATGGCTGCCACAAGCCATCAGAGACAAGGTATATTTCATTTGATATATCCATACACCGGGAGGCGATAAACAAACTACCAGTCAATCAAAAATATAATATTTTGTCGAATATAGAAGTCCCATTGACAAAAGCGTGGGTGAAAAGAACATAAAATCAGAACCAAATATATGTTATTCATAACCTAGCATTCAAAGGTCCAATAATATCTAGAAAAACGGGGTTTTCACTGAGGTCAAGTTGTCTTGAAATTTTGCAAATGAAGTTAAGTGAGTTTTTCGTCCACGATTCCATTTTTTTTAGGTAGATGAGTACATGAATTGCGAAGACATAGCGATGAATTTTCTTGTGAGCCATTTCACCAGAAAACCCCCAGTGAAAGTGACCTCGAGATGGACCTTCAGGTGTCCAGGATGCCCGCAGAGTCTTTCAGAAGACGATACGCATTTTCAGGAGAGGCACAAGTGCATAAATTTTTTCACACAGGTATCCATGTAATTTATTCAGGCAGTGTTTTGGAGGAGTGTCATAACTTTTTTCTGTGACGGAAAAGAGTTCGAAATTTCATCTCTATTGACAGGCTTTGAAATGTAACTTTTTTCTGCATTGATAACAATTTGCGAAGTGCCACGTTTCCTACGTTACCATGACACCATAAGAGAAGCAGTGCACAAAGTTAAACGAGGCACGAAGTACATACTTCGCTCATTGTATGTAAACTTTATTATTCGATTTTTGTATTTAAACTTTATTTGTAGGGATATCTGCCCTCAGATATCGTCCTGGCGCATTAAAGCGGGTTATACTAATATTGACAATGATTTATTACAACTCGGGCGCCACCTATTTTATAGTGGTAGGTCCACTTGCACCGGGCAACTATCAGTGGAGAAAGTGTAATTCAGGGGTTAGGGATTTCAGCTTTCAAAATGACTCGAACTTCATTTTATTCAATCCCCAGATCAATAGTTACTAGTTGCTCTAGCTCTAGTAAAAGAAAACTCAAATTAACTGAGCAAACATCCAAGAAATCATTTATTTCTGAATGTTTAACAATAAATAAGGCCTTTTTAGCCAGTTCAACACTATTTTTTATATCAAGCTAATCATATTTCTACCTTAGAACTCTGTTTTTGACGTTTGTAAAAAAAAATGTTGTTTGCAATTCATGCGCGAAATATACTTTGGTCATCTCGACTCTTTTTTCAACTCGGCTGCGCCTCTTCAGTTATCGATCACCAAAGTAACATTTCGCGCAATACATTACATTTTTCCCACGATAAAAAAGTGGGTACTATTTTCCTGGATATACAATGTATACACTGTTGATGGCTTTTGTTGTTTGTTCCGAAAAATAAGCCAATGACACTGTCTCCGAGAAAGACCTGAAAGTGTTTTTATCTTTCATTCGGCTTCACGGTCACGTAAATTACTAAACAATCACTGAATTCACTTATTTTTTGAAGATGCGTGCAACGTAGGTGCAATTCCTGTTGAAAACTTCAAATGTCACGTATATAATTTTCTGATTTCAATATAATGTAATATCTTCTCAATATCCATGTCTTTTTTCCTGTCACAGAAAAAAATAGTGTGTTTTATACGGCATCGAGCTAGATTCTACTACTTTTTTCCGTTGGATAATCAATAACAATTTTTTTCAGGTATTCGGATATCTTCCTCTCCTGAACACCCAGTATAGAGCAGACTCGATATTATTCAAAACTCGGATACCACATGATAAACAAAAATGCTTTAAATTTATATAACGTCCGAGAAGGTGAATTTCAATATGAATTCAACAACTTTGTACAATCTATAGGTTGATGAATTTTTTTTAGATGTAAAAATCATTGTGATAACTCAGACTTGTTTTTAACTTTTTTTTGATGTGCCATTTTTAACTAGTATGGAAGCGAAAATGTAAATAAAGTAAATCAATATTAATATAGAACTGAATACCTCAATGGAACTAACTAGGAATGGTATTTTTAATGATTATTTGCGAGATTTGCTAGAGATGCAAAAATTTCCAAGTAGAATCTAAAATGCAAAAGGAGCAGTATTTTCCAAAACCACATTAGTCAATACAAGATTCCCACTTGATTTGATAAATTTGGAAAAACCTTGGTCAGAAGCACTTCTAGTAAGATTCTTTTACAATGAAAAACATTTTTGGTTGGTACATATCTTTGAACATTCAATATCTTGTAAAAGTTTCGAAATATTGGAATAATGATTCAAAATTCACCAGCTATCTCCCAATCCTATTCAATTTGTTAAATCTCACAAAAATAGAAGGAATATCACAAAAAATAACATGATATTATATCATATCTTGTAAAGGGGTAATAAAGAAAAAATATATTTAGAACTCATCTGATGAGAGCCTGCTGGGAATATTAATAATAATAATAATAATAACATTTATTGATCCCAAGAAACATACAATTGTTTTCTGTCACATCCTTGAAATGTTGCATTTTGGAAAACCCCCAATACAATGAAAAGTTCCATTTTAATAAACCAAAAAGTCAAATAGACAGTTGCGAATTTTGGAATTTTTATCAAAAGGACCACCCTGATGACTTGAGAACCTGTTCAGTTTCATTTTTTGTAATTTTTTTTCAGGCAACTTAGGTATCTTCTTGGTACTCTTGCCACATATCTAAAAATATAGGAAAATGGAAACAATGAACAAAAATATTTTTCAGTTTGATAAAAAAAAAAACAATTTAATTCAAAAATATTACAATAGGATTCAGGAAACAATCGACAAAAATATTTTTCATTTCAATAAAAAAAACAAATTAATTAAAAAATATTACAATAGAAATCACTTCTCAACCTTGAAAAAATTATTTTGTATGGTATACCTAACACACTGTAACAACAAATTCCTCTCATGCCTTATCTCCTTCTCTAACAACTTCTCCAACAAAGTAACTTTCCTTCTTTTGAACTTATCATATGGAAACCGATCATTTTTCCTACTATCCACTCTCATTCCTCCGCCACGTTTATGCCTAAAACCACCCCTCCCATTCCGAAAACCACCCCTCCTAGAATTCCTATTCTTCAACTCCACCCTCTTCCTTTTCCTACTAGCAGTCCGGGTCCGGCATTTTTTCACTTCTTCACCTTCTCTAACTGAAAACATAGGCACCGGAAGTGGTTCCCTAAGTATTTCCTCCTCCAAAAACGCTTCCCCGTCGCTTTCAGCCGCCTTCAAACCTCCCATCACGACGTTTCGAACTTACAGCGGCTCATCTTCAGACTCGCTCCCGTAAGCGCCCATCTGGGCAGTTTAAAAATTTGAAAAATCGATGGTGATACCTCGTTTTGGTAAGTAACTACTAATGTTTCTCAATAATTACAGAAAGAGCACCCTGCTGACTTGAAAACCTGTTCAAAGTTTCAGTTTCTGTGATTTTTTTTCAGGCAACTTAGGTATCTTCTTGGTACTCTTGCCACTCAAAGAAAAATCTAAACTAATAGGATAGGGGAAACAATGAACACAAATATTTTTCAGTGTGATAAAAAACAATTTAATTCAAAAATATTACAATAGGATTCAGGAAACAATCGGCGAAAATATTTTTCAATTCAATAAAAAAACAAATTAATAAAAAAATATTACAATAGGAATCACTTTTCAACCTTGAAAAAATTATTTTGTATGGTATACCTTACACACTGTAACAACAAATTCCTCTCATGCCTTATCTCTTTCTCTAACAACTTCTCCAACAAAGTAACTTTCCTTCTTTTGAACTTATCATATGGAAACTGATCTGTTTTCCTGCTCATTCCTCCGCCACGTTTATGCCTAAAACCACCCCTTCCATTCCGAAAACCACCCCTCCTAGAATTCCTATTCTTCAACTCCACCCTCTTCCTTTTCCTACTAGCAGTCCGGGTCCGACATTTTTCAACTTCTTCACCGTCTCCAACTGCCAACATGGGTACCGAAAGTGGTTCCCTACGTATTTTCTCCTCCAAAGGCGCTTCCCCATCGCTTTCAGCCGCCTTCAACCCTCCAACCACGACGTTTCGTACTTCCGGTGGCTCATCTTCAGACTCGCTTCCATACGCGCCCATCAGGGCTGCCAGAGTGGAGTTGACCTTAAGAGCAGGTTTGAAGGGTACCGTCGACCATTCTTCGTCCTCGTATTCGCTGGGCGCTTCTTCTGGTTGGTCGATCAGCTCGGTGGTACCGCGGAACGGGAACATGGTACCGTTCCAATCGAGTTTCTCGTTTATCAGGGAGATCCGTTTGGTTTGTTTGGGTGGGGGTTTTTTCGGTTTCCGTTTGAAGGGCGGTCTCTTGTCCTTTTGTAGGGCCACTGAAACAATGTTTTCAATATATTCCATGATCTAGCAGAGATGAAGTCAAACATAACGAATTTTGCCTTGAACTTGTATGTCAGGATTTCTAAATTTGTTCATCTCTTGGAGCAATACGAGTCGAATTTCTGACATAACAGACAAAATTATCAACAGTAATTACACAAGTGGTGGTAATTTTTTGATAATTTTAACTAGATGCACGAATCTTTGTTGCTATAGAAATTTCACGAGTGGACGAAGTCCACGAGTGGGATTTCTCAATAGCAACAAAGACGAGTGCTAAATCTAGTTAAAATTATTTAAAAAAATAACCAACACGAATGTAATTCGGCGTGATTATTTTTTTTACTATTTCGCAAAATGCCCCAGAATATGTTTATTAAACAATTATTTATTGAACAATCATTTATCATACAATTATATATCAAACAATTATATATCAAACAATTATATATCAAACAATTATATATCAAATAATTATATATCAAACAATCAAGAATGTTTACAATTTACGTTTGTAATGGTGCAATTATTGTATGTTATTGTACAATTTCCTTGAGATGAAGAGGTCGAAACAGTGTTTCCTCTCAAGTTGTTTATCATGCTTGCGTGATGCTCTTTGTCAAGTTGAAGATAGGGTTTGATGGAGCTTGCAGATGAATGTCCAGTTATCTTCAACAACTGCTGCTCACTTACTCCACTTTTAGCGAGTTGTGTCACAGCAGAAGAACGATGTGAATGGTTTGTAACCTTGATTTTGCTAGGATCCAAGCCAATCTTTCGGGCCGCTTGTTTTGTCCATTTTGCTATTTCATTTTGTCCTACCGGAAGATTTTTGTACCACCCCTTAGACAAAGGTTGCTGCCAATTTGGATTAGGTGTTAAAAATAAACGATCAATTTGAATATTTGCACTTCTTTTCGACATTAACTTCCGAAAGAGACGTACTGGACATTTTTCAGTCTCATTTTCATTTGGCGTTAAAAATTTGCTATCAGATAACCTGTGCGATCCTCCTTGTGCTGTTTTAGAAATTATTGGATTATATTCTATCCGTCCAGTTTGATTTCCATAATGATCCATTTCTTCTCTAAAATACTGTACTAATGCTTTTGTCGCTTCTCCGCCTCTCCAAGCCAATTCGTAGCTAGCAGTATGATAAAACTTCCTTTGTAAGCCATTTGGAGTATTTTCGTCCCATGCTGCTATCATTTTTTCTATTTCTTCTTTCTTGAGAGCAACAGAAGATGCTTTTCTTTTTTCAGGAATATGTTGAAGTTCTCGACGTTTGCAATTCCGCGCATCTCGCGCGGTCTTAAATTCAATATCAGTGAACGGATCAATGTTTCTATTATACTCCCTGAAATATTTTTCCTGGATAAGTTTTGCGGTGACATTCCACAAAGTTTTGACAACAGATTCTTTGTAGTTTTCTCCATTTTTTTTTCGCATGTTATATGCCCAGTCCTCCATAATTGATGCGATTTGTTTCATCTCGGTTGTTGCAGTCAACTCATAATTACGTTCAAGGCAGAACTCCAAAAACTGTTTCCATATCGTATTCTTGCTTTTTGTGGTGTTGATTGGTGTTGCTTGTTCGACAGCTAAATGTATTGAATCAGCCGAGCTTTGACCAAATCTCGTGCTCATGTCGGTTTCTGTTAATGACTAATAATAATTGTAAAGTTTTTCCGAACCTATACCAACTCGTTTAAACGTTAGAGAAAATCACAAAATACGAAGTCTGACTGATACTTAACAATGGCGTCGGTTCTGAATTCGAAATGTTTACATTGAGACAAATAGCTGCGTTACCTTGACAACCAAGTCAAGTCAATGCTAATTCTCTAAAGGTGCCCCATAGACTGCGTTGTTGGTAGGCCGTTTTGTTCGTCGAACAAGTCTGTTCGAACAAAAAAGACACAAAACTAAAGTGTGTGGCCAGCGAAAACGAACATTTTACAGCCACACACTTCGGTTGTGCGCAATTTTTGTTCGAACAGACTTGTTAGTCGAACAAAACAGCCTATCAACATCGCAGTCTATGGGTCCCTTTTTGTATCCATTTGAAGGAAGATCCAAACGTGAATAAGTCATCGCGGTAATTTGATACTAACAAATTATCAGTATGATTCCGAATGATTGGCTAGAATCACGCATTGATATTGGTTGAAACAAGGAAAACGTCACATTTTGACATGTAAAAAAAATTATCATATACAAGCCATGATTATAACATAGGAGTGAGAATAGGCGACTGGACTAATGAATTATTGGCATTCCAGTGTGTCTTTAGGAAACTAAATTAATTTTCAAAACAGTTCTCACGCTTTTTTTACGTAAATAATGTGTATGCGTTGTTCGAAATTGTTGAATTGCCGAGCTCATTTCAAACGAACCGTCATGGCCGCCATTTGGCGATACGTGGAATGAATGGTGACGTCAGTTTTATGCTGTTTAGTTATTGGTCAGATATTCTTCCATTTCCACCCATGAAGCAAGGTTGTCAAGTCACCAATTATAATTAAGTTCTCAGAGAGATGTTGGAGTTCTGTCGATGAATAAAACATAATAGGAGGAACCCATGATGTTATAATTCATTCTCGACTTTTTCCAGCAACCACCATGTCGAAATATTTCTTATTCTCCATAACAAAATATCATGTAAATGTTGGAGACTTGGCAACATTGTGCTGAATGCTGAGAACTGACAAGACCTCGCCTACAATTCACGCGCTGTTATCACGTTCACCGATTCAAATGTCCTCTAGTGTGAATTAATATAAATATTATTTACACAAATTTATTATAAGCAGTAAACCACAAATCATAAGGAAACATTTCGAGACAATTGAATTTTTATTGCCAATTTGTGAATTATTGAAACTATTATTTCTGAAATTCCCAATCGTATTTCAACACATAGCAACTGTGCTATGGTCTGCCCCCTACTTACGAAATCGTGACGTCACTATTAACTGGCGGTAAAATTCTAGCCGTTTGAAAATTACCATGGCATTATTGATGATTTTAGCACCTAAAAATCGACCGAAAGTCTTAAAAAATATGGAATTGAAAGGTATTCAAGTGATGATTCTATTTAAGGAATAAAAAAATTTTAGTACACTTGCCTATTCCAACATGCAAGACATAATTCTGACATACAAGCCAAAATTACAAAATTCTGACATACAAGACAATTTTCAGGAATAATTTTGAACTGCTTATCTAGAAAACAAGTCAGAATACTAAAACATAAGTCAAAATTCACACATACATGCCAGAATTCCACCATAAATTCAGGATTCTGAGATGAATTTAGATTTTTGGCAAGGTCAGAATTTTGAAATACAAGGAAAATTTCAACATACTTTGATTCTAATACAGAAGCCATAATTCTTAGGTATTATCAGAATTCTGACATACAAGTCAGTATTGACATACAAGAATATTCTAACAGAATAATTCTGATGCAAAACAGATTTCTGAAATAAATGTGAGAATTTTCAGATGATAATGAGAATTCTGTTATAATTGCTATAATCCTCATAAATGAAGACTCAAATATCACATTTTCAATATAAAAGCCTGTTTTCTGAGTAACAAGACACAAGACACCATTTTGACATAAAAGCAAGGATACTCAGAAGTCAAAATTCTTATTTTTCAGACAAAAGTATCCTGAGATGAAGTCAGGAATTTCAAGATGTCACTGGACCAGAATTTTGCATTTATGGATTTTTGAAAAAGTCAGGATCCTCAAATAAATGTAGGAATTCTAACATACTGAGTCAATATTCAGAATTTTTAACTGCTAGAATTCAATACAATTCAGTATTTGACATGAACTTTAGGAGTCAGTATTGACATGTAAGATAATTCCAACATACATGTCAAATTTATGACTTGTAAGTAAAACTTCTGATGCAAAACAGAATTCAGAGATATATTTCTGAATTTTTAGATATTCCTCAGAATTCCACTATAACCGTCAAAAATGTAGACACAAATATTTCACAATTTCATCCTAAAAACCAGATTCTTGAGTAACAAGACAGCATTTTGACATAGAAGTGAGAAATCTTAGTTCATCATCAAGTCAAAATTATGACCAAGTTAGAACTCTGAAATTTAGTCAATGATTCTGATAAACATGTCAAAGTTTCAACATACAAGCCTTAAAAAAGTTAAATATCTGATACAAGACATATATTCATTAATAACTCATATTTTCAGCAAACCAGAATGTTCAGTAACAAGCCAGAATTCAACCAATCAAGGTTTGAGATATTAGGTATGAGTTCTGACATTTGAGTCAGAATTCTGATATACAATTCCAAATTCAGGCATACATTTATTGTTGTTGTTGTCACCTTATATTATTTTATTATTGTTGTTTGTAATCAACTTCCTCATACCACAATTTTATTTCTGACTGGAAGCTAGTTTTTCAATAAACAATAATCAATCATGAAACATTTAATAAAGATCCAAAAAAAATGCAAACAATTATGTAGAGAGAAAATACTTACATCTGAACTTATCCCTGCCAAATTTGTTATCATTCTTCTGAATTCTCAATCCTCTCTTCAACCTCTCTTCTTGTTGTTGCTGTCTCTTGACCACATTCTCCTTATTGGGATAATTTCTTTTCCTCTCCTCTATCCACCTGGCTATATCTTCGGGAGTGTTGATGTTGCGTATTTTGTCGTACAATCCAGTGGCGTGCTGCATCAAAATATGTTTTTCTATGACCTTTTCGTGTGCGGTAAAAGTGCAACCGTCCAGATTGCAAGTTCTGTGTTCGGACATATGTTTGTCAAAGTGGAATTTTGAGAAGAAATCCCTATCACAGGTGTCACAGGAGAAGGTTTGATCAATGTCAGGAAACGTTGAATCTTCTGGGTATTGTTCATAATAGCAGCTGTCTTCTTCATAATATGTCTCTTCTTCAGGGTATTCTTCATAAAATCTGTCTCCTTCAGAATATGAGTTTTCTTCATAGTAGCTATCTCCTTCAGAATATGGGTTTTCTTCTTGGTAGGTATAATCTTCATAAAAGCTATCTTCTTCAGAATATGTGTTTTCTTCTTGGCTGAATTCCTCATCTTCTGTATGAGAGTAGTCTTCAAATTCACCTATCTAGGAAATGGGATATATTATATCAAGTTTCTTTTGTAACACTATGTATACTTCAACTGGTGACATTTACTTTTTTCACTGTCTTGGACCAAGAACTGAGTGTTTGATGAAAGGTGAGAATATGTATTTGAAGTACTTCATTAATTTGAATAAGATTTATCTTCCAAAGAAAATGATGTATCTTGAACTTGAATATCACCAGTACAAATATACACAGTGATGGAAAAATAAATAATTCCTGCCAAACAAAACGGCAAATTTCTGGAATTGAATTTTCTTTATATGAAAACTATTTTGATGACTATTACTTGAAAATACTGAGATTTCACATGAAAAATTTTCAACTTACTGAAAAATCTCCTTTGAATCACAAGAAAACACTTCTTGTGATTTCTTGTGTGGTGGACTTGATGTGGAATTCACTCCAATGATTGTATACTGTATGTTCAAAATTAATGTTCTGGTAGCAATTTTGATGAAAATGTAATTTTGAACAGTAGTGGAACTGTTTCCTTTTTGAGTTGATATATTTTTATTTTGAACATTGTTGCTGAAAATTCCGAGGAATATTCACATTGAAATTGCCAAGTCACTTATTCACAGTTGACCTAGTATTTAATAAGAATGGCAAAGTTATATGTTTGAAGTTTTTGAACTTACTTTTTGTTTTTGTCTTGACCATTCTGAAGAAAGAGGGACTACCATTTTTCCTGAGCAATTGAGAGTTGTACTCAAAACTCTATTTTTGTTATTATTAGTGCCCACCAAAAAGTATTCAAGAACATTTCCTTGACCACAAATAATAGATAATATATTGATTTTTCATACAAGTATTCTAATGAAAAACAATCTATACTCTATAAAATTTGAATAAGTACTTACTTATTTTTTTTTTTTAATGAAAAGGAAGTACATATCAAATGAAAAATATGCCAATATGATGCTGCATAGAGAAAAGGAACCATATTTTTGAAAAAAATATAAGTCACAATACTTTGAAATGTTGGGATGAATTGAAAAATTAGAAACCATATTGAATATGACTTCTTACTAGTTCTTTGTTTTGAATCAGAAAACTGCCCAGGAAAAATTAAAATACATAAATATGGAATACAGTGTATTTGATCCATAGAGAAATAAAAATGCCAATAATAGCAATCTCTATTACACAAAAAAATCAAAATATCAATTAGTTATTTTTGAAATTTAATTTATTTAACACTAGATACATAATTGCTACTTCAAGGAATTGAATAGCTCATAGGTACTGGTTACCATTAACTTTAACACAAAAATCACTTGTTAATGAGAGATTATTTTGCAATGATAATTAATTAGCAAACTATCATGAAATTTGGAAAAGTGGCTTTTCCAAGAATTATAAACAAAAAATATAATAAACTCTATACTATACAATCATGAAAGAGTCCACAGATATACATAAAAAAATTGTCCAAACTAATTTCACATCTAATCAAACTCAAGACACTATCTAAGATAGATGAATAAAACTTTTGAGGTGTGTGGCCAACTTTTGTATAATTTTTTATAGAAAAAAAAAGGGGCCCACTTAAGCTGGTGTTACTCCAGTATTTGCAGTTTCTGATATTGTTGTCTCAGCAGCAGGCTGAGACAGGTCATTTTGACTTTCTGATTTATTGTTCGTCTCTGCTGTTTCATTTTTTCTATCATCCTGTAAAGATACCCAATTGATTTAGACATAATTGTGATATCCAATGACAAATTAAAATTTAAAAACTACAGAAAATATTGCATTTTTTTATACATCATGAAAAATGATGATTCTCAAAACCTATTTAAATGAATGAATGAATATCACTGTTTGCCACTATTTGAATTTGTAAATATCATAATGTCCTACATTTAAGCTTTGGGCATTATCTACTTCCTAATATATGGTAAATATGATTTCATATTCTCATTATCAGTATGAATATGCTTCACAAAGATTATAGTTATAATAATTGTGAAAAACAATGAAATTCATTTTTCAATTCAAATAAGTGAAGTTCAATAACTGGTATTTCAATAAAACTATAAAATACCTCTAATCAATACCATCTCATCAAGGACTGGGGACTGGAAATCAAAACAGAAAAACATGGACTTTCTGACTTTCTAAATCAAAGTTGTTTCAATTCCAATTATGAGATCTCAAGTCCTCAATGAGTAGGGAGAAAAAGCAAGAGATCCTCTCACACAAGAACATGTTTAAAAAATTCACCATGTATGGTAGTATCAACTATTGTCATGTTCTTGTGTGAAAACAGGAAGAACACAGCTATTATAAAAAAATACTTCAAAGGCAATGGATAGTCTGATGAAATCAGAGATTTTGCAGTCTTGATACAACAAAAAATGCCATGTAATCTAAGTATGGTCCTGAGTTATGAAGGATGCTTATTTTACTTCAGTCTGTATTGAACCTTTATATGAACTCCTTTTCTCAAACTCCCATTATTTCCAGGGTGATTTATTTTAGAATACACAAATCAGAAATATTGAGTAAACCAACAACTAAGAATTTACCTGTGATGAACAATTTGGCATTGGCATTTTTCAAGTTTGCATTTAGTACATTATAAAATGAATCAGCCTGTTTTTTGCCTATGTGAAACATGGGAAATAGTGATATCCCATTACTAAATGGAAAATCACTATTAAAAAAAAGACAAGGTTGATTCATGCACAACTTGATGCTGATTTTACCTCAAGAAGTTGAATGTTCCAGTCCACTGCATGAACATTCATCTTCTTGAGTCGAGGATTGAATGAGTTACAGCTACCAATTCTTTCATGAATCAACCTCCACATCCACTTTTTGCAAATTAGTACAAATTATTTATACTGAGTACCAACATAGTGGTGTGCTTGGGAGTAAAAGGAGAATGTGATTCAACAAAATAAAAAATACCTATATGAGGATGTCTGCTGTATAATCAATAGGTGCTGTTATTCGTGTGAAATTAGTTTCTGGCAATAGCTGAGGGATACGCACCTCAGGCTGCCCTCCTGCAGCCTTCTCTGCCTCCTGATACAACTTTGTGCATGAATCTCTCTGCTCTCTATAACTCTGCCAATCCTCTTTTGATTGAGAAGTTTTGGCTGCTGTCAACAACTCATCTTTCTTAGCAAACTCTGCTTTCATAGCTTCTGTCACAAAGGACTTTGTCAGATCTAGACTTTTGAGGGGTGGCTTGTTACCCTTCTTGATAACCTTGCTTTTTTTGTCAACTCCTCGCACGCCGTTAAGAGGGAAGCCCCTCTTGCCCCTCATTCCACCTCTGAACATGCCTCTCATCGGGGGCGGCATGGGCCCCCGCATCATCATCATGGGAGGCGGAGGTGGGCGCATTCCCGGGGGAGGGGGCCTCATGCCAGGCGGAGGCGGTCTCATGGGCATCATGGGGCCTCGGGGGCCCATCATCCTGGGCGGAGGCGGCGGCAGCGGTCTACCTCTCATGGGGGGCCCTGGTCGGCCTCCGCGCATCATCGGGCCCGGGGGCGGCCGCATGCCCCCGCGGAAAGGGCCGCGTGGTCCCATCATCATGCCCGGATTTCCAAATGGCGGCGGGCGGCCATTCATAGGACGCCCTTGGCCGCGAACTTTTCCTCTTTGGTTTCCTGCTCCTCGTTTAGCTCCTTTGCCTCGGACGGGGGCACCCATTGGTATTCTTCAAATTGGATTATTTGTCGCACTACTGCCTTCCACCAAAACGCGATAGATATTCTCTAATCGAAATACAAATTTACGAAATACAATACAGAAGTTTACGGCAAATACGCTTCTTTTCGGCGTCCGATTAATATGACGTCACGTCTCTGATCTCATCGTAAGTCATAAGCCAATGTCAATGAACCGGTTCTACCAACATCAGATAAAAAAAGAACTAGATTAGCTAGAGTCGTGTAATCCTATTCGTTTGATCTGCTCGAGTAAAACGTGTCTTGATTGATAGGGCTATGGCGGCTAAATATCTAGACTCTCTGACTGTATAATGTATAATGGCGCGTTCACATGCTGGCTTTTCGCCTTTTGACTTACAGCGTATCCTCATCTCATTGGCCGATTCGTCAGAAAGCGCTTATCGAGGTCATAAGCTAGAAAGTCGGTTTCAGTCCGACTTTTGCGGAAAAAAGCTCAGATCGTTTGACAGAACCACACAAATATTGACAAAATGAATACATATCATCATATTATGCAGTGTGGAAAACAGTACTGGAAAAACACTCCTAAAAATGTGATAAATGTGGTTTCTGGAGGACGTACATCTGAAATTCAACCAAATATGTGGCAGTCACTGTCACTTTTCCAACTTTTTCATGTGAACAGTGCGCCCGTTTTATTCAAGCTTTCTGCTGTAGGCATAAGCTGGCATGTGAACTCGCCATAACCCTTCAGGCAGTCTAGATATTTAGCCGTCATCGGATAGGACATCGAGGTGCTGCAAGGATTACAAATATGCACACATTTTTAAGAAAAATGCTCAGCCTAGCTGGATTCAAATCGCGCGAATGAAAAGATTTTTCTGAAATTTTCAATACGTAATAATGGCCGAATACGCACACCATATCTTACCAACTCATCTCTGATCTTACTTCCAATATACATTGAGTTCAATGCTCCGTAGACAGGCAAGGCAAGTGATGCCACCGTATGGAGGTAATGGAGGAACAAAGTGTAACACTGGTCTTACCAATAGAACTGTAATATGTATAAGTTTTTAGCTGTATGGTGAAACGGATATTTTCACTAATTTTCAGTTGGTATTATGTCGTTTTGTGCTCTTCCCGCTGCCCGCCATTTTCGGCCATTTTCTCTTTTCTCTCTTGTCGTTTTGTACTTGCGTCTTGCGTGCTTTTTGACGAACCTCTCGTTAAGCATCTAGTTTTTACTAAAAAGTGTTGAATAAATATTGAGGTAATTTCCACAAAATTAATATTGAATAATTTCACATTATTATTAGATTACTTGTAGTCGAAATTCTGTTTGTTGTTATAACTTTGGAAACAACAATGACCGGCAGGCAACAAGGCGTCTATACCATTACCCTTTGCGATTTTTAGGTTTTGTTTTCAATAAATTCACCAACATTCCTTTACAGGATGGGCAAGAAGAAGGTTGAAGAGAGCGAAAGCGAAGAGGAGGAATACTCTGTGGAAAAAATCATCGATCGCCGAATAGCTCATGGAAAAGTAGAATATTTCTTGAAGTGGAAAGGGTACTCTGAGGATGACAATACCTGGGAGCCAGAAGATAACCTGGACTGTCCTGAATTGATAGCTGAGTTTGAAAGACTCCGGAAACTTAAGAAGAGTTCTAAAGATTCTAAAGATAAGAAGAGGACCCGTGAAAATTCCACATCATCATTGGATTCCAGTACATCTTCATCTAAAGCAGATAAAGACAAGGACAAGGTAGGCACATTTTCTTCTATAATAGGTACCTTCTGGATTATTATGTTGAAGCTTAGTTGTGTGGAAATTATCATTTATTTTTGTGACCATTTGTATGTTAACAGAAATTATTTATATTTTGTTCTAATTTTCAACTCAACAGCTATACTTTCCATATCTGAAAGATTTGGATGATATGAATTTAAGACACATTATTTTTTGAGTCACTTGAGTAACTATCAAATGTGGTAAATATTTTCTCAGTAATGAGTGATACCATAGTTCTTGGTATATTTTCTCTTGAAACAATATTATTTAGGGGTCAGACAATGGAATTGATTTATTTCCTCCCCTATTTGCTGAAGTGTTATGAACTAATGATAGTGTTGATAATCTCTTATCCATCAGAAAATGTACATCATAAGAAAAGTCAAAGTAAAAAAATAAATCTTGTAATCTGGTGTTGATTGGATGAAGGCAGAAAAGTGGTTATTAGTTGCATTAGTAGAAATCCAATGATTGGATTGGTGATTTTTTGTACAATGCAAGTATGTTCTTGAGATTCAACTGATATGAGTTTCAGTCAATTCCTGTGAATGAAAAGAAATTACTAATTCACAGAAAATTATGAAGGAATTACCTATGTTTGCATAAAACATAATTTTTTTATTTCCATTGTGTTTGATATAGTAGGTTCAATACAACCAAATAAAAACATAACAGATTTCATCATAGTCATGGACACCACCAGAAAAAAATCATGGGGGGCATTTATTTTTCAGTCTTATTAAAAGTATTATGAATAATAAGTAGGTCAGTCAATGAGTAGTATAATGAATTTAAACACATACCTACAAGAAACACATACCTACAAGAAATCAAAAATATCACAAGAACAAAGATGATATGGCTGACAGACCAAAATCAAATTGTAAATAAAAAAAATTAACTAAAAAGAACATAATTCTTAAGAATAAGAAACTGAATCCTAGAAAAATATTGTATAACAAAAATAGCAACTTTCTCAGTAAATCAAATAAAATAGGTATTAAAAATATAAATCAAACTGTTGTATTTTACTATACTATCTATGCTGGGACTATTTTATTCAATTTCAACAACTGGAAGGCACAGTAGTCCTAGGTTTTATTTTAGTAATAATATTATTGACATCTTTCTCAACAAAACATGTTATTCAAAATTAAAGTTGAAAAAAATCAGAGTCACACAGTATCCTACAATACAATATAATAGAATGAATCACTTGAATGAGTCCTTCCATTTGAAGTAAATCCAAGCACTTGCATTTGATGCATTTTAATTTCAATTCTGAGGTTAGATGTGGAAAATTAACAATATGAAAATTCTTAACCATTATAACTTACTGAATTGGGTTTTTTAATTATTTTGGATATTTGTGAATGTCATGTCTTCAAGAAGCAGGTAAGTTTTGAGCTTATTTCAGAACTGGAAGTTCACAGAAGTTTTTCCAAGCTTGCTTTGTTTTTCAAATACAAGCTGTTGCTTGGTGCTGCAATGTGAAGGAAAGCATCTTGATGATGTTATTTTCCATACATAATTTTCCTTTTTGTTAGGTTCAAAATGAAATTTATTTCAGATGGATATGTTATTTATTTGCCGTGATCCGCCATCTTGAATTTCCAAATTTTGACGTAAGAATCCTAATCTCCGACCCCGAAAACCCGCAGATACCAATTTTGAATGGAATCGGATTATAATTACAAAAGTCGTCCGCCATATTGGATCCGCCATCTTGAATTTTCAAATGTTAACGGAAGAATCATAATCTCCGATCCCAAAAACCTCTGGATACAAATTTTGAATGGGATCGGATCATAATTTCAAAGCTCGTCCGCCATTTTGGATCCACCAACTTGTATTTCCGAATTTTTACGAAAGAATCATAATCTCCGACTCTGAAAACGCCCAGATGCCAATTTTGAATAAAATCGAATCATAAATACAAAACTCGTCGGTCATATTGAATCCGCCATTTTGAATTTCCAAATTTTGACGGAAGAATCATAATCTCCGACCCTGAAAATCCGCAGATACCAATTTTGAACCGAATCGGATTATAATTACAAAAGTCGTCCGCCATATTGGATCCGCCATCTTGAATTTTCAAATGTTAACGGAAGAGTCATAATCTCCGACTCCAAAATCCCCCAGATACAAATTTTGAATGGAATCTGATCCTAAATTCAAAGCTGGTCCGCCATTTTGGATCCACCAACTTGTATTTCCAAATTTTTACGAAAGAATCATAATCTCCGACTCTGAAAACCCCCAGATGCCAATATTGAATAAAATCGAATCATAATTGAAAAACTCGTTGGTCATATTGAATCCGCCATTTTGAATTTCCAAATTTTGACGGAAGAATCATAATCTCCGACCCCTAAAACCCCCAGACACCAATTTTGAATAGAATAGAATCATAATTAAAAAACTCGTTCGCCATATTGGATCATCCAATTTTTTTCAAAATTTTTATAAAAGAATCATAATCTCCGGCCCCCCGAAAATCTTTAGATACCAATTTTGAATAGCATCGGATGATAATTTCGAAACTCATCAACCATATTGGATCTGCCATCTTCATATCAATCCGCCATTTTGAATTTCCAAATTTTGACGAAGTAATCATAATCTCCGACCCCGAAAATCCCCAGATACCAATTTTAAATAGAATCGGACCATAATTACAAAACTTCCACCATGTTGAATTTCCAAATTTTTGGCGAAATAATTATAATCTCCAACCCTGAAAACTCCCAGATACCAATTTTGAATAAAATCGGATTACAAAACTCCCCAAAACCCCCAGATACAAATTTTGAATGGAATCTGATCATAATTTCAAAGCTGGTTCGCCATTTTGGATCCACCAACTTGTATTTCCAAATTTTTACGAAAGAATCATAACCTTCGACTCTGAAAACCCCCAGATGCCAATTTTGAATAAAATCGAGTCATAATTGAAAAACTCGTTGGGCATATTGAATCCGCCATTTTGAATTTTCTAATTTTGACGGAAGAATCATAATCTCCGACCCCTAAAACCCCCAGACACCAATTTTGAATAGAATAGAATCATAATTAAAAAACTCGTCCGTCATATCAATCCGCCATTTTGAATTTCCAAATTTTGACGAAGTAATCATAATCTCCGACCCCGAAAATACCCAGATACCGGTTTTGAAAAGATTCGGACCATAATTACAAAACTTCCACCATGTTGAATTTCCAAATTTTGGCGAAATAATTATAATCTCCGACCCCGAAAACTTCCAGATACCAATTTTGAATGAAATCGGATTACAAAACTCCCCAAAACCCCCAGATACAAAATTTGAATGGAATCTGATCCTAATATCAAAGCTGGTGGCATTTTGGATCCACCAACTTGTATTTCCAAATTTTTACGAAAGAATCATAATCTCCTACTCTGAAAACCCCCAGATGCCAATGATTAAAATCGAATCATAATTAAAAAACTCGTCGGTCATATTGATTCCGCCATTTTGAATTTACAAATTTTGACGGAAGAATCATAATCTCCGATCCCTAAAACCCGCTGACGCCAATTCTGAATGGAATAGAATCGTAATTAAAAAACTCGTCCATCATATTAATCCACCATTTTGAATTTCCAAATTTTGACGAAGTAATCATAACCTCCAACCCCGAAAATCCCCAGATATCAATTTTGAATAGAATCGGACCATAATTACAAAATTTCCACCATGTTGAATTTCCAAATTTTGACGAAATAATTATAATCTCCGACCCCGAAAACTCCCAGATACCAATTTGACAGGGACCGGAGAATTTTATATGTTAGATAAACATTTCAGTCACCACCTATATTTTGTAAACGGCACCACTGGAATTTCCAACAGCTAACACTATTAATGATTCATTATTTAGTTACATGGTATTTCACTGAAATACTGAATTGAAGAAAGGAATCCAACAAATTAAACTCGGGAGTACCCTTTGGTATTTGAAATTATGTCATGACATTACTACCCCCCTATCTCTAATGACTTATTCTCTTTTGGTAGTAAGTAATTTACTAGAGTATTGAATTTTCCTTTAGAGCTTCTCTAATAATTGAAGACAAATTCAATAACAAAGGGAAAAAAATTTAAAATAGAAATTTGATTTCTTATAAAATGTGATTTTTTCATCCTTGATATGGACATATGATATTCAGGAACACCCTGTATATTGTAGGTTCCATTTTTTTGTATCACGTATTTAGAATCACGTGATGCATAAAAAAAATGATTTCAGAAAAAATCTAAAGGCCGTTCATCATCCCCCGATTCAGACGACGAGCCTAAAGCTAAGAAAACGCGGGTAGACGACTCAGACACTGAGAACAAACAAGAAAAGAAAAAGGGCTCTGACGAGGAAGAAGAAAAGAAAAAAAAGAAGCCCAGAAAGTCCGCACCCAAATCCAAACGTGTAGAATCCGACGATTCGGACAACGAAAAAGAGAAGGAAAAAGAAAAGGAAAAAGAAAAAGAGAAGGAAAAACCGAAGAAAAAGACCGAAGAGAAACCGAAAAGCAAGCCGAAAGAGGACAAGAAGAAAGTGGAGGATTCTGATGACGAGGCGCCCAAAAAGTCCTCGAAAAAAACCGAGGTGGTGGACAGTAAAAAGGACAAGAAGGGCGGCAAGCTGAAAGACAAGGAAAAGTCCGCTTTCGAGAAGGGCATGGAGGCTGAAAAGATCATCGGCGCTTCTGATACCACGGGACAGCTGATGTTTCTGATGAAATGGAAGGGCAGTGACGATACTGACTTGGTGTATGCCAAAGAGGCCAACGTGAAATGTCCCCAAGTGGTGATCAAGTTCTACGAGGAGAGAATAGCTTGGCATACGCCCGATGAATCCTAGTTTTGTGCCGGTGGAATGCTTGGGAGGCGCAGTACAGGGCGATTCCATGTTGAAGTTTTTCCGTTTTGCGAACTCTTATTGATTTTGGTACTGGGATAAGATAGATTATTGACTATTTTGATTTCATGTGGTATTTTATAGGATTGTACCAAATTTTAAGGTTCTATAATTACAAGTTAGTGAAAACTTTTGACGTGTGGTCTATGTGAACCACCCTGTGGTCTATGTGAACCACCCTCTATACAGTGTTGCCATTCATTGAGTTTGTTAATTTTGAGATTTTTTCTGTTTTTGATTCTGAGGGGAAAATAGTGAAGCCAGTTGTGCATTAATGAGATTACATGCCAAACAAATTCGAGAGTCAAGAATAATCACTTTTTTTACCATTTTGAACAGAAATTCACTTTTATGGTGTTAGTTCATGTTGCAGAAATAGGCCAAAGTTGACGTATCAAGAAGAAGAAATAGAGGAAGGAGAAATTGAAAAAAAATTTATAGGGCTAAGAAGAGCCATATTATTCATTTTTTTTGTTTTATTGCAAAACCAGGTCTAAAATGTTGTTTTAGATTCATCAAATGATGTCCTTGATACAACAGATAATTTAAAATTTGTGTTGATAGCAACTGGAAGCAAATTCCAAAAAAATCTAGAGAAGTGAACAAAATGTATTTGTTCCCACTCTAAGTATAGAAAAGTTTCTATTATGTTTTTAAGTTTGCATATTTATTCACATTAAGAAATTTGATATTTTATTTGCTATATAGTTAATACAAATACTGAGTTCATTCATTTCAAATTCTCACCAAAAGGTGAAAAATAAGATGCAGTTGTGATTTTTTGTTTGTTTTGATTGATGCATAAACTCTTTTGATCTTTTTTTGTCCTAAACTCAATGACTTGAAAATATCCAACATCCAACAAGGAACTTAATGAATCACACTGTATAGTTCACTTTTTTACCATAACATTTCCATGCATGTCTACCATTTTTAATCATTGTCTCTTTGGATGTTAAAAATTTTAAGACAAGCTATCAGATTATGTTTAAGATTGATTATGGAAACTTCTCATTGTATTAGAGAATAACTCATTGGTTCAATTTTCTTAGGAATATTGTATAGTACCAACTGACAATATCATTAATAAAAGGTTATTATTTTCCAATTGCAAGTTTCCTTTCAAGAGTACCTAATGCAAATAAGATGAATTCCTGGAATAACTGAACTACAAAAAAAAATGTTGGGAGAAGTATTACCTTTTTTGACAATCTGGGCATTTTGAAAGATTTGATAAAGAAAGTTGATTTGATGAAAAAGATAACACGATTTTATTTACACTTAACTTATTTTGTCTACACTATAACAGTTGTAAGAATTATAAAAAATATATAAATGAGTAAGCTTGATGGAACATGGATAAATGACATCTTTTTGTGGGGTGCATCCTTCTGGTAGAAATTAACTGCATATCTGTAGATGGAATTGATTTTAAATCCTGAAAAAAAAATCCAGTTATTTATAATCCTTCAATATGTTCAAAAGAAATTAAAACCTCCAATTATTGAGTTCTTAAAAGAAAATTATTCATCCATGGCATTGTCAACTCATTGTTGAAATCGGTTACATTTTGGGAGCGGAGATCCGATGAATGTAAAGATAATTTCAACTTGCCAAATGAATCAATGAGATAGCAACACTAAAAAAATCGAAAAATTCACTGCGGTTTTTCGTCTTGTGAACGTCATGGTTTTTTTCTATCTAGAAATAAGTTCCCCTTGCTTCGGGAACGTCTCGTTTGACCCAATTTTCGATTCACCCACCGTCTCCGAACATAACCGAAAGATGCGTTGTTAAATAATGCCACATTTTTGTCGGATTCAATGAAACGGGAATTATCAACAATCATTTCACATTCAAATATGTCGTTGGGCCAACATTTCGTTTCACCCAATTTTCGATTCGCTCAATTTTCGATTCGCTCAATTTTCGATTCGGCCGTGTTAAGTAGGTTAGGTAGTTTGGAGAAGGTAGTCTCCTTCCTTATGCAGGAAAGAATATTTTCCTCCGATTGGCAGCAAATATTAATTTTGCTGACACATATCAATCAGCAGAGTATTACTTTTCCTGCCTAGGCAGCAAAGTGGTTACTTTGCTGATTGATATGTATCAGCAAAATTAAAAATCCATAAATCGTTTATAATTTCCTTCATATTTCATCCGAGACTTCTCCGGCAACAAATTCAACTCTATATTTTTTGCCATCTCCCTTATTAATGGAGGTGTAAGTATACTTCCAGGTCGCTATCACTGTCCATTATATAATGATTCAAATATACCGATATTTTTTCGCACAACTGTCAGAAATTTCATGAATTGTCAAACCAACAACTGCGATTTCTATAAAATTGTATTTTAATTGAACACTATACAGGAAGAATAAAGAGATTGTGGGAATTGTATTAATTCGCAAATACAATATTCTTCCATATCATTATGAACAATCGGAGAAAAAATTATACTTAGCTGGATTCCTAGCATCGCTACGCTCGGCTATGAATTCAGCCAAGGCAGTCAATCTACTATACTTTGCTGCCTAGTTAAACAAATAACTATTTCCTTATATTACTTCGAAATTCGGGTCCATCGAAATTTGGGTGAATCGAAAATTTGGTGAATCGAAAATTGGGCGAATCGAAATATGTACCATACATACATAATATAGGTATCAAAAACTTTTAATATTTAATAATGATTAGCCCAGAATAATTCTTCATTCAAATTTGGGCGGCGCGGTCTTACTTTGGTATTTAGCTCATTGACTATTATTTCTTGGAAAGAAGTATGGCACTATAGATGATTTTTATTCATCAAGCTAAAAGAATACAAATATTCCACAGAGGCTGCTTGGTAGGGATAATGTTACTGTAGGTACAGTCGTATTCAATAAAAAAGCGTAAAGTAGAAACATTAACGACATCCTATTGGCGTAAAAAGGGCTATCGGGAATAATTATTTTCCAAATGTTGACAGTGGAGTTCTCGTAGGCACCCAAAAAAAAACCTAAAGCATTGGCTGACTCAGTTTCACACAACTAGAATTAGGATATCGTTGACATCTCTTTTTGATACTTGTATGCTTTTTTATTGAATACGACTGTACATACAAATTTACAAATACTCAGTAAATGGAAATATGGTAATGATAGAACGCATCGTAATACATAATATCATACACTTTGTACAACACTAAAGTTCTCAAACATTTAAGGGCAAAACCTTTCAAAAACGGACGTATACAGGGGCATATGTCACCTCACACTATCTCTATATCGAGAATCAGTCGGAAGAAATGCATGAAAATATACATGCTTATATTTTAGAATACACTTCATTTGAAATATTTTCGACAATGCAGTGTTGCCGCTTCTACTAGAAAGTAAGTATTAGCAATATTGATATTTCAAATAGAACACCCTGTATTTTATCGCATTTTCAGATTCTCCCTGAAGAGCTGATTTCATAGATGTATCACACTTGGGGTCTATCGGAAATGATTTCAGAGATATATAGGGTGTTCAAAATCGATATTTTTCAACTTTAAGAATTGTTTGTGTCGAAACTAATTATCGGCCAAAACGGCTCACATGTCCCTATCTCAACTTTTGATTTACTATTTACTGATATTTAATCGGAACAGATACAGGGTGATCAGAATTCTGAATCTTGAAACACACCCTGTATCTGTTCCGATTAAATATCAATAAATAGTGAATCAAATGTTGGGATTGGGACATGTGAGTTGTTTTGACCGATAATGAATAGTTTCAACACAAAAAAATCCCAAAGTTGAAAAACACCCTATATCTCTGTAATCTTTTTCGATAGACCCCAAGTGCGATGCATCGATGAAATCAGTTCTTTAGGGAGAATCTAAAAATGGCATAATATACAGGGTGTTCCATTTGAAATATCAATGTTGCTACTACTTTCTAATAGAAGCGGCAACACTGCATTGTAGAAAATATTTTGAATGAAGAGAGCCTATTCTAAAATATAAGCATGCACATTTTCATGGATTTCTCCCGACTGATTCTCGATATATAGATAGTGTGAGCTCGTCGTGACATACCCTGTATTCTTGCCTGGAATGAATCGGACATATTAGAGAGTTGAAGTGTTGTCATGAACGTTAACGTAAACGTAGAAATTGACAGCTACGCATGCGCATTTTCCAATTCTTCACGTTTATCTCACGTTCCTTCACGTATACCTTAAATATCAACGTACGTTAACCAAACGATACTCGAAATATGCCGATGAGTCAAAATTATCAAATTCGAGATCACCAACGAGTTCTGCATGAAGGAGTCCTCTAATTTTGACAGGAATAAATGTTCGAATCTAAACACACAACCAAAAATGACCAATACAAACCGAAAACAAAATGTATTATTACGTTATATGATGAAATTGACGACCAAAGTGGCGACTTCAACTCAATTTAACGACAATACGTAAACGTTATTTCTCGTACGTTAACGTCTACGTGGAGGTCTACGTACTGTGATTACTTCAACTCTCTATTCTCCGAAAATTGAATCCTTGAACAATGAATCACGCTGTAGAGACCGGATAACATGAGGGGCAAAACATTACGTATAATATTGAATGTGGAACGATCAAAGATTATTCTGAATAATTTAGAAAACTTATCAGAACGAAGCTATCCCCAATTACACTTGACTTGATATTCTTGTGCCAAAATTGGCACGCTAAACATTTAGAACGTTCTGGTTGCTTAAATTAACCATGACGATAAGGTGACAGGCTTGTCAGTCTCGACTCAAATAAATTATTTTCAGACGTAAATATTTTCTACGTTTTTCGCATGTGGGAGTGCTTTTGAGAAAATTTGATCGATCGGATGTTTGACATACATGAACAGGATTTTATATTTCTAGAAATATCGAAAATTATATTGTAAAGATTCAAATTTTAACT